GTTATTTATTGGCTGGCAGCTGCTAGAAGACTCTAGCAGGTGCCGGCCACTAGGAAACAGTTGGGCAGAGCTAGCTGTCACTTCCAGCTCCGCCCAATTGTTTTTTCTTTTAAATTTTAAATCTTTATTTTTTAAAATGTAATATTTGTTTACATTTTAAATATATTTGTTTCACCTTTTTTTTCTAGTTTTTTCACTATTTGCTATTCTGCTCGGTACCACCAAGGTCCCGAGCAGAATAGCTGAGCCGAATGCCGCTCGGCAGCATGCGGCTATTCACTCGCTGCCGTTCGGCCCCCTTGTGAATAGGGGCGAACGGCATCAAGTGTTCTGCCGGAGCTTCGGCTCAGCCGATCTAGATGTTAGATCAGCTGAGTCGAAGTCCTTCTGCACTTCGGCTCAGCTGAACATGAAGAGCATGTTCGGCTGACCGAAGTGCAGCCGGTGTATGGCTGATTTCAGCCGATGTATGGTTGAAATCAGCCGTACTAAGCCAGAGTGAATAGCCAAACATAGTTCGGCTCACTTCACTTTGGCTGGGTTATTCACTCGGCTGCCTTTGTCAGCTTTGTGAATAACCCCCTTAGATTTACTTCACCACCGGTCCTGAGAAGCAGTGACTCAATACTGCGAAGTGCGTTGAATCACTACACGGCTAATTCCTTCCAACCAATCTGATGTCTGTATAAATATATACTTAAAATGAATGCTGATAAAGTTGTACACGTAGTCAAAGATATACTGTAAAAAGCAGAAGGACACCATTGGCTATATTTAAATAAATGTCTTTGTATTGTTATTCATGGTATATCGTGGTACAGTTTCCCAGATTAATCTCCAAGCAATGTAATTTGAAGTACCTATGTTTTTAATAGTGCGTAAACCGTTACATATTGTTTATAGCAACACAAATTTGTATTTTCATTAAAAAAAGGCATATGGAATACGATTGCATCATCTTAGCACCTGAAAAGTCCTATATGCAATATCTATGATTGGTTAAATGTAATTGGCTTCTTGGAGGATGTTTGGGGAATGCAGTTTCCATGAAGGTGTTTAGGTAGGTGGTACATGTCAAAGTAACATCCACATGAATGGCAGGACCCAAGGTTTCCCAATAGAGCATTGCCCAATGCATCACACTGCCTTCCCCGGTACATCCTGGTGCCTTCTCTTCCCCAGGTAAGTGACACGCACACTCCCGACCACCCACATGATGTAAAATAAAACTTGATTCATCAGACCAGGCCACCTTCTTCCATTGCTGTATGGTCCAATTCTGATACCCGCGTGCCCATTGTAGCCACCTTTGGCAGTGGACAGGGGTCTGCATGGCACCCTGACCAGTCTGCGGCTACGCAGCTCTATACACAACAAACTGTGTTAACAAACTGTGTTCAGACACCTTTGTATCAAAAACTAGCATTCCCTTTTTCAGCAATTTAAACTACGGTATCTGTAACTTGCTAACATAAATTATAGCTAAACCCAAAAACACAAATGTACTGTATTGCAGCTTACCAGATGTGATGGCTGCATTAGTTTTATTTTTTTGGGGGGGCTCAGTACATTTTCTCAAAGTACAGAAAACTACTGGTTGATCCTAATAGAAATCCGGTACCCTCATAACTTCCTGTGAACTGAACTGAAAGCTCAAACAGTGTTATCAGCTTTCCAAACTATATACTGTGATCTACACAACCTCTTCTCCCTATGTAATGGAGATGAGGAGAGGGGGAAGTGTTCTTAGTCCAAATCAGGAGTGCAGCCTAGAGTGACAACGCTTTATAGATACAACATCGTGAGCATCACCCTAGGAGAGGAAGTGTGTTATTGGCAAATAAAAAAATGAGAGTCTGATACAGGGAAACGTATGAAGCCATATCTAAGGGCTCGTTAGCTGCAAATAAGAATTTTGGGGGATTAGATATACTTTAACATTCTTGCAGTGGGTTTTGTACCTTCCATAGTATCACTAAGATGAATTCTGAACCATGTAGAATGCTTCAGCTATCCAAACTGCTGGAATGGTAAAGAAAAGCAGAGCTTTGGGTGTTAGTTTTTTTACAGGAATTCTTTAAGGTTGACGCAATATGATTAATACTCCTCATCTTGCCAAATGCACACCTGTGGAGAACCTCTCCCTTATTGTCTTCTAATATCTGTCAAGTCTCCACACGGGAACATGACAGAGGTAAAATGGAGCTTCAGGGGAAACTCTTGCCTATTGTAGAGCTCTGCCTACTATCTGCGAACACTCCATGGCCTTTAGAGTGACTCGGCTACTGTTTATTTAGTTAATGCCCTGGACTTATATTTCTCATAGTGAGCTCTTTTTTTCTCATGGTGGGAAAAGCCCAATGGGGAGAAAATTGTGTTCCCATAGATGCGGGATTGATTGTGTTATGTTTTGTTCTTACTTGTTCTCAGAAAGTCACCATTAAAGCCTAAAGCATATGTCAAGTCCAAATGAAATAAAACATAGATATACTGTATATGCAGAACATCTCTGCAATAGATGCATTTTCCCCCATGTGTTATCCCTTTGAAGACCCTGCAGGTACAGAAAAACACCTGTTGACCTGTCAGAAGTGCTTTGGTCCTGTTGTGAGATGGACAATGCACAACTTTCATGTGGACTGAGTGGTGTCAGCCTTCCCAGTTGTTTTTTTCTAAACTACTCAACTACTCCCACTCTTAGATCTCACATGTAAACAGAAGTATTGATTAGCTAATGGTAACTAAACTGGGGTACCACCCGATTAAAAAAACACACATTTAGGAACTGTTTTGTAAGATTTGTAAAGATTTGTAAAGTCATGAGTATGTTCCTGTTACTCAGCCACTGCTGCTGAGCCTTATGGGTGACAACCCTAAGCATGTTTTTTAGCCTGTAACTGTGCACAATCGGTGGTCACTTCCACACCTCCTGCCTGTTCTATGGACTACCACAGTCATCCAGAGTAGCAG